TCCAGGTCATACGGAGTAAGTCGCGTGTAAAAACTAGTTTTTAATATTCCAAACATAAATTTAAAAAATTAGAGTCAAACTTAATTTAATTTTATTTAGTGTCAAAATTAAATTAGATAAATCTAATATAATAAATGAGAAAATTTGTAAGGATGGACCGATCGATGTTTGTTGCTCTTTTACGCAAAAACTACTGAACGGATTAGAATGAAATTTGATACACATGTAGGTTATATCCCAACTTAGCATACTGGATACTTAGTTTAGCGATTGAGGCAGGTGACGCCGCGGTATATAGATAGTATAGTATAGTATTGTAAACGGTTATTTAACAAAGAATTAAGGTACCAGTAATCTTCAGAAAGTTATTCCGTCGCCGATGTAATGGTTCGGTTATTGTAATTTCTGCATTTATAAGAATATTTCTTTGTATAAAGTACAAAGGGTTATTATGCCTTCGAGGCATGTGTCTATATTTAGTTAACAAAATTGGAAACCATTTTAGTATTATTATGAATATCACAGTCTGTCTGTAGTTCATAGGGATCTACGTAACTTATCTATCTTATTTGACTGGAAGAAATCCCTCTAAGGGATAAGTTCATAACCCAATATCTATATTTTTTTTTGATGGGTGAAAATGTTATGGTAACTCCGCCTGCGCTAACGGGATACGCTGGCGGAGCACCAGTGAAGGGTGATAGATGAGAATGAAAACAGGTCAGTTAGCTCATCATGATGAACTCATCAGGAATTAACCATGATAGTCTCCAGGGAGAACCGCGAGGAGGTCGACCTGGTTGGGTATATTGCTAGCAATGGGATTCTCAGTCTCCATTACTAATAGTCCCTTCCCCCCCAATATCTATATTATAAGTGAATGTACAAAAGCACATAAATAGATAAATTAATTAATGAAGTTCGTGAATATTGAATGTTTATTATTTAATCACGCTTAAATGAGAAAATTGATTTTAATATTTTTTGTACATAAATTCTACAATTACTCTTTACATAATTTCCGTATCCTTTAAAACTAAAACTATCTACAAACCTATTTTATTTATTGCACAGTTCTGTCCCTTCTTTCAAATTAAGAATTTAGCACCAAAAACGGACAAAACATTTTAATAGCTAAAATGGGTTCATGAGAGATTATAAGTTTTTATAAATTTCACCTTAGTTTTTACATAAATCATTAAATATATTTATTTATTTATTTAAATTTTAATGCATAATTATATAAGTAAATGTACATATGCCGAATTTGACACCTAATAGCGTTCTCTACCAGTTAACCGTGAGACAAGCAAAAAATTAAGTAGATTAGAGTAGACATAAGAGAGTATACTGTTTCGCCCATGATACCCCCCATGCGTTGCCATTCCTGAGGACTCAGATGTTATTCCTTTGTACCCTGTAAATTCACGCCATATCCCACCCTTCAAACCGAAACACAGCCATGATAACATAACTGCTTCACGGTTGAAACACGAATGGGACAGAGGTACCCAAGCAATCGACATTTGTACAGCCTCCCTTTGGTGCAGTTACTACTAAAATGAAATATGAGGAGTATTACATACTTAATTTTTGTTAAACAGTCAATAGCAATTTTAATACAGATAGTTCGAAATGTTGACCGCAAGGACAGCATTTGCTTTGATTGTATACAAAAAAGAAATTTTTCATTATCTTGATATAAACTGATTCCGCTATTTGAGTAGAATGTAATTTTTACATTAAGATATAAAAACTTATTAACACAGATTTAATCTTGCACATAATAAAGAATCATCGAAATCGATGCAGATAGATATCACATAACATTATATAAATAACAACCTAACCCAACCGAGAATCTCCTCTTTTTAGAATCGGATAAAATTTCACTTTTACATCGTTGTAAATATTACGGGAAATAAAGACAGGCGATCGTCAAGTTTTGAACAGGTAAATATGATGAGGTTGTGAAGGCAATACGTATTGTATATCATGTTATGAGTTAAATGGCTTCATAAAATATTACCTACATATTCGTTGTATTTCAACAAAGTTCAGGTTCCACGTGTAATGTCATGTGTCAAAATACACCGAGTGTATTTGTATTTAGTATCCGTTTAGTTTAATTGGACAAGTAATTAGTACACTAGTTAAGAGTCGGCACAGCTTTTACATTGACGAAACTGGAAAATCTATCTATGCGACCTTTACTCAAAACATTGAAATAAATTAATGTATATAGTGCTGTAGAAACATGTGTGTATAATACACATCTGTCAAAATATTGACATCGATAGGTCATATAACAATTTTTAAGTGATAATTTTTCAAATAAAATTACATATGCAGATAATAAAGTTGCGTAGATATACTACAAACGTTTTGTTTTGTTTGAAGCTACGAATTTGAAAACAGAATCAGTTTCGATTTTCAATTCGATTGTAATTTTTTATGTTTGTTACCTCATAACTCTATCAGTTGTAAACCGATTTGGACATTTTATTTTTATCTAAAAGGATATACTTACAAATTGGTGACATAGAAATTTAGTTTAGTTTTTAAATCAGAAAAACTATTTTGGCATAATTAAAGTCGGTTTTTTTTCTGAAACACAATCTTAAATTATAGCACATAGGTATAAGTCTCAAAAAATTAATATATCCTCAGAATATTGAAATCTCAAAATACGATATTACGCTTTGCACGTAACAATTTACGCAGAAATGCATTTTTAATATTTATTTTGTATAACATAATTAGATTTATTGTTATTTTAATATTGTATTATTACAATTATTTGTATTTTTAGTGAGTGCATTGGTAAAATTGTAAAACTCACCAAAAATATGTATATAAATAAATAAATATATGCTACATAGAAATGTTCCAGTAAATTTCATTACATGCTACGTCTCTCGCAGTTATAGAATACTAGGGCTTCCGAAATATCTAGAGATAACAACGAAATAACTAGTGACGTTGAATATTAAATTTTTTTCTTTCATATTAAAAAAAAATATAGTGAAAAGTATAAGAAAATATAGCATAGTAACGTGAATGTACCTAAAGAAAATGTTAAATTTGTCTTTTATTTTCTTATTACTTACTGACAGTATGAATAATACATTACAATACCAGTCAAATTTAAGACTGTATTGAACCGATTTTGCTAAAATTTCTATGAAACTAATCTGGAAGCATATCTTTGCTAAATTAAAAAAAAAAAAGATAAAAAAAGTATTTTCCAAATCGGTTTACAATTTATAGAGATACGAGATAATAAGGTTGAAAAAAAAACCAACCGAATTGAGAATCTTCTTATTTTTTGAAGTCGGTTGAAAACATAATATTAGTTATGTTCTATTTTTAAATTTATAATGAAAGTTGCCATGTTTATCACCATGTTTTTGTAGCATTAATTTATGTTTTGATTGAAACTTTAAATTATACTCACCATTTACCTATAAAATTAAATAAGTTTATTTAATTTTTTTTTTATCTTCCCTGTTTCGTACTTGCTTCTGCTGCGGCAGTGAAATTACAGGGTACGCAGGCATAACATCTTAGTCCTTAGGAATAGCAATGTATGAATGGTATCATAGACGTTCGGGGAAACTATAAATACATAATAATAGGTATGTATAAGAGATCGCTTTTAGCCATAAGGTTTGTTAAAAGTAAAACATTGTTATAAAAAAAAAAACATTGTTTTCTCATTATGATTATTTATTGTAATTGTTTATATTCATCATAAGTTTACTATTATAATCTTATGGAGGAAACATTAAAGAGTTTTTTTTTTAAATGAATGATGAATGGAGTGATAACCCCGCCTGCGCTAACGGTATACGCTGGCGGGGCACCAGTGAGGGGTAATAGGTGAATAATGTAAAAAGGCAGGTCAGTCAGCCCATCGTGATGAATACACCTGGAACTCAGCACGATGGTTTCCAGGGGGAACCGCGTGGAGGTCGACCTGACAAGGTATATTGCTAGCAATGGGACTGGTAGCCCGCATTACTAACGATCCCTTCCCCCCAACAATAAAGAGTATCTATCTGTCTATCTACATACCTTGTACTGTGTAGCGTTGTTGATATTAATACAAGTCGTTCTTATTTTAGATTTTTTTTTTTATTTGGTGGTATAAAAAAAATTCAAGGAAATTATATTTTATTGAGACCCTATTAATAATTACTAGTAAGAGTTTTAAAGTATGGGTTACATTAATAACATACTGTATAACAACAATATTAATACTACCGCACATATTAACTTACGGCCTCATTTTAAGCTTTTTTTTATACAACTTAGAATGGCAAACAAGCTGACGGACCACCTGATTGAAAGCGGTAACCGTCGCCTATAGACATGAGTAGTACCATGGAAATAACAGAGTATACTGTTTCACCCATGATACCCCCCATGCGTTGCCATTCCTGAGGACTCAGGTGTTATTCCTCGGTACCCTGTAAATTCACGCTATATCGCCCTTCAAACCGAAACACAGCCATGCAAACACAACTGCTTCACGGTTGAAACACAAATAGGACAGAGGTACCCAAGCAAACGACTTTTGTACAAAGTCTCCCTCTGGTAGACTGGTAGTAAACTAAAAAAAAAATATTGTGGGTACTAGACAACTGACAGACATATTTTTTTTTTTTTTTTAGATAAATACATACATATTATACATAGAAAACAGTTGGATAAATAAAAATAATATATCATACTCATGAATGTTTTTTCATTTCTGCCCATTTAGTTTACTGCCGTAGTCCTTTAAATCCTGAAACACAGGTTTTTTCATACCTACCTCGGGAGTTAGGGACTTCAAATTATATTGTAACAAAGAGTGAAATAAAGATTATTTATTTTATTTATTTATTATATAGTGCGAGGATCGAACTCACGACCATCGTTAGCTGACAAAAATTAAACCGATGTTCCATTAATATCATATATTTATCCATAATATTTGATAAGAAACTACTCACCCCAATATGATGTCCATCAACGAAGAGCTGCGGAACCAATATCTGCTCGCTCCTCATCCTGTCTCTGATCTCGTCTTGGTATTCTGTGCTCATGAAGACATCTCTCTCTTCGTACTTCACCAGCAAGTTTCGTAATATCTTCTTGACGAGGACGCAGCGTTGGTACGTACTCCTCACGATGCCCATCGTTGTGGTATAGACGACGACCTTGCCAGCGTCTTTTTCTTTGTAGCTCTGTAGGAAAAGAAGACTTTTTTTAATTCAGAAATTCTGAACGTATTTGTTAATAAGTATTTATTACTTATTTTAGTAATAAATTTGTTTAAAGTTTGTAAAAAATATAACTTCCAATTTAAATAGTTCGTAATTTGTATCATAATTATAGCGCCATCTGTTATTACTATTATGTACTAGTAAATTGTACCAGAAGTGTTTACTTTTACATTTCTATGTACTTATTGTAGCAGATATGCTATTGTGTTTATTTTAAGCTTGATAGATGGCACTTTTTGGCTTAGTTTTTCTTTTACAGCTTTATTATTCTTCATTATATCAATTCGGTCGTTAAACAAATATTGTAAAATATAATAAATTCATTATTATATAAAAACAAGTAAACTTAAGGTATATTTATAATAAAACTGTAACGAAGTAAAACTATAATAATTTTATTTAAAATTATATTAATTTTACACGAAATTGACAAGAAAAGATTTTGTAAAATTTTTACTGTTTCTACAGTTTTTATGGATGATAATGGAATGACAACCCCATCTGCGCTCTTAACATTGGCAGGCTACTAGTGAAAAAAATGATAGGTGAAAATAAAGTTAGAATATTTGATAATTAGCTAAAATTCTTTCTAGAGGAAAGCGCATGGAGGTATCCTTAGTTATTTAATAACGAATTATTGTCAATAGTATGGAGTGACAATACAATGTGCATTTTTTGTCAACACAATGCCCTATTAAGGGAACAGAGCACAATATAACTTTACATAAGAAGTAAAACTTCAAATCAAATTCCTGTGAACCCATACCTAAAATAATCATTAAAAAAACTACATTAAGCCGTCCGGTCAAGTTGTTTACAGTAGTTTAACATTCTCCTTCTTGGAGGATAATTTTCCCTAAAGTGATATGTCGAAGGGTTTTTGTGATATATTTTATTTCGAATCGTAATTTTAATAATTCAACTATTTAAAAATAGATGGCGCTTTTTATATATTTTTTCAATTAAATATTGGTCACATTAAGTCCGTATATTATGGTATGCTTGATGACACTTCTGTGTTTAAAAAAAACATTAATAGAAACATTGAAATGGCATTTTGTAATGTTTGCATGCGCCCATTCGCAGGTTATATTGCTAAAGATGTATGTCGTACAGGTGTCAACCGATAATTCACAAGTTTTACGAACGTACTGTGGCCGCAATTATGTAACTTCCTTTCGGACAGTACTGTTAAGTGCTAAAGTGTTCGAAACGTTTTTAAGAGCATTTGTGTGTTATTATACTAGCTTTTATCTGCGACTTCGTTCGCGTGACTAGGAGATGTACACTGAGCGAAATAAAATATAGCTTATATCCTTCTCCATAAATTTAATAGTGATTGGTAAAGCTGTTAAGGCGCGGAGGGGTGACAACTAAATTCAATTTTACATACATGTTAATTTATTCACTGTTAGACACATTTATACTATTTTTTCGTTAGGATATCGGTATGTTTACCCACAACGTATACAATTTAATATTAATTCATTAAAAACACATTGATTTATTTTCATTATTTATAAATTATGATGAACTTATGTGCGCATTAATTTAATTAAAATGCTCATTATTATATAACGGAGTTCTTCGAAGGTTATATAACGAAATGTTTTTAAGGAAGGTGCGTTATTAATTGAGCAGTGTACAATATTTAGAGGCGAAACACTCGTATATATTTTTTTTTTAATACAACTTAGAATGGCAAACAAGCTGATGGCCCACCTAATGGAAAGTGGTAATCATCGCCTATAGACAAGAGCAGTACCATGGACATAACAGAGTATACTGTTTCGCCCATGATACCCCCCATGCGTTGCCATTCCTGAGGACTCAGGTGTTAGTCCTCTGTACCCAGTAAATTCACGCCATATCCTACCCTTCAAACCGAAACACAGCCATTGCATGGCTGCTTCACGGTTGAAAAACGAATGGGACAGAGGTACCCAAGCAATAAACTTTTGTACAAATTCTCTATAGGTGACGGTTACCACTTTCCATCAGGTGGACCGTCAGCTTGTTTGTCATTCTAAGTTGTATAAAAAAAAGATGTTTTTTTTTTTTATCGGTAATAATGAAATGGTAAATCAGCATGCGCTGACGGTATATGTTAGCGGAGCAACAGTAAGGGATGATAGGTAAGAACGAAAGGCAGGTCAGTTGACTTAACTTCCATTTTTATCTATCATCTTTTACTGGTGAATCGTGATGAATTCACTTGAAATTAAGCACGATAGTTTCAAGGAAACCGCCAGTAGGTCGACCCGACAGTGTATAGGGGTAGGAGTAAGGGGGAAAGAAATTGTTAATAATGGAGTCTAACTGTCCTATTGCTAGCAATAATCTCACTTATCATAACGTAGATGTGATTATCATTCTATTGTCATCTATTTAATAACGATGGGGTTGCTAGTTTCTATTAATAACAATAGCTTCCCCATAATTTATTTATTTTAACTTTAATGCACAGTAAAATTCTATGTACATTTGGTGGACTTAACACCAGACGGTGTTCTCTACCAGTCAACCATAATTTCGATGGTTAGCCGCCAATACTTTCTGATATTTGTTATTAGTTTTGGTTGTAGATTGTTTTTCTAATTTATTACTTTTCTATATTACTTTGATTAAATTAAAGATAATATTTTTTATTTAATATATTGAAAAATTAATACCAAAATCCAAGTAATTTATTTTTTGGTTTTATTATATTTGGTATACATTCAGAATTAGAACGTTTTCCGTGTCTGTGGTAAAATTTAAAATTATTAAATGTGTATGTGACTGTACAATGAATATGACTGATTCTTCATAAGTTGTACATTACCTATGGTGTTACGTAACTGTCTGGACGTCAAGTGTGATGAAATATTACAATCTCAATGTATTGTAAACATACTTGATTGGTTATTGACAACTGTATTATATATTTACTTAGATTGGAGTTGTTAAAATCTGTGAGGCTACTGGCAGACAAGCACTCCATCTAATGGAAAATAGTAACTGTCATTTTTATTTATTTATTTATTTACTCTTTATTGCATCACTTAAAGAATAATACAAAGATATATTAAATATTATACTTATGAAGTTTTTAATTACTTATCTAAACTAATATTATAAAGAGGAAATATTTTACTTTTTTTTCTTTATAATGAATAAACTCGAAAAACACTTAAACGATTTTAAAAAATATCTCGTTTATAAAAAGCTACATTCATCATCATCGTCATTATATCAGCCTTTAACAGTGCACTGCTGAACATAAGCCTCCCCCTTGGGGGTTTTACCAGTAGTTGCCACACTTGGCAGGCGGATTGGCAACCGCAATTTTGGAGATATTTTAATAGGGACACTGCTGCCCATCCCTCACCTTCCCTTAGTCGCGTCTTACGACTCCCACGGGAAAGGAAGTGGTAGACTATTCTATGCCGGAAATAGAAAGCTACGATATTAGCGAGTAATAGAGTCTGTATTTAATTTTCAAAAAACCGGGTGTAACCAGGGCGACTCGCTAGTACTTTTACATATCTAATCATTTACTTAAATAAATAAGTTTTATTTAAATAAAATGATTATGTTAACAAAATACAGTATCTGAAAGTTAAAATAATATATCTACTTAAATATATATGGGCATAAAATTTTGCATATGTATTTGTTATACTTAAATAGAATTATAACCTAATAAATTTTGTGTTATTTATTTAAAAATATGTTCATAATTTTATTATTTATTTATTTATTTAAACATTAATGCACAGTAAAACTATGTACATATGGCGGACTTAACACCGGGGTGTTCTATATTAGTCAACCATTGGTCAAACCGAGAAATACGTAGGCGGTGCATTACTGAATAGAGAAAAAATATAATTTTGCTAAATTGTATCTGAAATTTCAATTACTCTAAGTTTTTTTAAGTTTTAATGTTCATCAAAACTACTCCACTAGCTTCATGGATAATAATTTAAATTAAATATTGAGATATGATGCAATTATTTAATAAGAGGATCAAATTGTTAAATCGATCAATAAAGATATCTATAATTGAAACACAAAATGTCACGATTGTAATTCAATGTACTAGTCGATGTGAACATAATTTGATAATGATTTATTGATGCAATCAATTCAATATGGTGCATGTATTTTGAAGATTTCAAATCACTTGTCGATGATCATTACCTATAATGTTTGACTGATGATATGTTTATAAGTGTTTAGATTGTTTTAGTAATTTAGTCGAGTGTCAAGAAAATTTTAATACTTCAAATTCACGACTGGGACTTAACGCAACGGAACTTATGTAAAAACTTTGTATAATTTAACATTTTGATCCAAAACAAATATTGCCTTTACTTGTGGTTAAATCAGTCATTTTGATTTTGAAACTAAACTAATGAACACATTTTTACTTCTAAATATTCTGTGGAACCAATCTGGATGTATGTTAAAATTTTCCAAATCGGTTTACAATAGACGGAGCTTTTTTATTTTTATACAACTTAGAATGGCAAACAAGCTGACGTTCCACCTGATGGAAAGTGGTAACCGTCACCTATAGACATGAGAAATACCATGGACATACAACAGAGTATACTGTTTTGCCCATGATACACCCCATGCGTTGCCATTCCTGAGGACTCAGATGTTATTCCTCTGTACCCAGTAAATTCACGCCATATCCCACCCTTCAAATCGAAACACAGCGATGCAAACACAACTGCTTCACGGTTGAAACACGAATGGGACAGAGGTACGCAAGCAATCGACTTTTGTACAAAGTCTCCCTCTGGTAACATGAAAATAAATACAATTGTAAATAAATTTCCTCCTTTTTTGAAGTCGGTTGAAAAATATATATAAATACGAGTACTATTTTAATTATACGCTGCGGAAGTGACATTGATGATTTTTTTAAATCATTAAAGTGGTGTGGTGATATAATACGATGATGAAAG